GTTGACTGTAGAACTGATGATCTGCCCTGTAAACTTTCTCTCAATTCACAATAACAACTTAAAAGAAAATGGGAGGAACACAGATGGGAAAAAAAAAAAAAAAAAAAAGACTGAACAGTAGAACAGAAGCCTCAGGAGTCATATAGCTTCTTGGGCAGTGTTGTGATAGCCAAAGGCAGAGAGTCATGCACAGTAAAGAGGGGCACATACACTGCCGAGAAGGGAGGCTTGCTCAAGCACATAGTGGAGAGCAGTTAGAGATCTGTCCAGGTTGGAAACTGTCCAGACTGATGAACAACATCCTGTCTCCCGAGCTTTATCCTGCTACTTTCCTAATAAACCATATAACTGTAAGCATGATCTGTAAGTTCTGCATAGCCACTGTGCTGAATTATCAAACCCAGCAGAGAAGTATAGAATTTTGTGGGGAATTGCTAAAGTCAAAAATAGTGAAGTTGGAGACGAGGTATGTATGACCTGTCTCTTAGCAGAATCCAGGTTTGTGCATATCCTGATTTTTTTCTTCTGGAATCTATAGGAATTCTGATGCTAGTGTTATTATTCTTATTAAGGGCCTTTGAGTCAGTTCCAACTCACAGCAACACTGTACAGGGTTTCCAAGGATTGGCTGGTGGGTTTGAACTGACGACCCTGCTGTTAGCAGTCCAGTGCTTATCTTACAGCACCATACTAGGTGCTAGTAGGTTACAGTTATGTTCCTTAAGAATAGACAGAACTAGGTCTAATAGCACCCTTAGTAACTAATAAAATACCTGATACACAAAGAGCATTCAATACACATTTGCTGCATGTATGGGTGAAGATATAATGGCACAAGTGAACAAACTAAAGCACTGTTAAAGCACTGAATAAACAAAGAAATATAAAAGCAAAAAAATCCTACCTAACTGGAGTCTGTGGAGGAATCATATTCATCTCTTCATCAGGGTTATTCTTCCGTGGTGTTCTCTGCATTTCAAAACTAAATAGTAATCAATGAAGTCATTACTATGGAAATTTTACAATATGCTTCTTATGAGTTAAAAAAACAATATACTTTCTACTGTCTCATCACATCACAGAAAATGGCAATCCAATAATACAACTGATAAGAAATAGAAGACCCAAAAGCTGCTTCAATGAATAACATACAATGACATACAACATTTTATTTTTCATCACTACTTTCAAGTGTGGATTTCTTTCACTAGGTTACAACAAACAGGCACATCAATATTTTAGAATTCTATTAATATCTAAGTTGTTCAGTATTAAAAAAAATCAAAGCTCAAGTTATTCTATTTATTGTGCCTTCCCCAACTATATTTCTAATTATATAAAATTAGTGACAGTTTACTTGTGTTGATTTCATACTAAAGTCATAAAGTTAATTTTACTTATTAAATTACATTTTATATTTACTCTCAACCATTTACAGTTTACGGTTCTACATGGTAATTTGAAAGAAAATACTGTTGTATTAACTAAAACAAAAAAATAGGCACACAATAATAGATACCAGGGTGAAGGAAAAAAGAGACCACTGTTTGAATAAGCTACTGACTTCAACTATTTTCTATGGGTGTGCATTTTATAAACTATATTCAGATAACTAAGAAAAAGATAACTGCTATTGAGAACAATTCAAATTAACTATTTGTTAGCAAATTATATTCTTAGTATGTTGTTAATCTTTCCTGTTCTTACTACGAGCTTTATATAGAAGCCTTAGAAGGTAATTTATCATGAGCTATGTTTGAAGATCACTAAGACCCCCAACAAGACGGATTGATGCCGGGACAGCAATGGGCTCAGCCATAACAATGCTAAGGATGGCTCTTGCCTGGGCAGTGTTTCCTTCTACTGTGCAAAGGGTCATTATGAGTCGGAACCAAATGGATGGCACCTAATAACAACAAATTAAATGGAAACTTATTTAACCCATCCATCCTTAACTACCAAAGCATGTTGCTGTAAAGTACCACTGAGTCAGTTCTAATTCATAGTGTCCCTATACAGGGTTTACAAGGAGCAGCTGGTAGGTTTGAACTGCCAATCTTATCGTTAGCAGTCCAATACTTATCCTACAACACACCAGGACTCCTATCAGAGCATATCAAAACATAAAGATATACCACATACAATACCTGTCTATAGGATCAGCCTGAAGAGTTTTGTCATGATTCAAAAATAATCTTGCATCTAGATCTTTGTTTTTAAGGTAAATTTCTTCATATTGTTTAGAAAGACTTTCAACCTCAAAAGAAATAAACAGTAACAATTATCCTTTTTGTGTCATTATGCCTTTCATTATACAGAAGCAAAGATTTAATTTAAAAATTTTTCATACAATATATGTTTAATTTTACAAGACACACTGAGTTCACAGGCAGCATAAAAAAGGCCTATATTAAAACATAGAAATGGACTTTTCAAATAAAATTTTATATCTATTTTTGCATGAATCCTATTTATTAGCATTTTATGTAGATAAAGATCACTAATGCCAAAAAATAGAATTTCAGATCAAAGTAGGTATTATTATAATCACTCTATTGTCAAAATACTTGAAAACAACCGATATAGCCATTATGCTTAATAATTTCTACTGTAGTTTATCAGTATACAATAAATCACTAAACCAAAAGTTCAGATTGAACCACAAGGTTGGCGGTTCAAACTCATCAGCTACTCCTCGGAAACCCTATATATACACGGTCACTATGAGTCAGAATTGACTCAATGTCACTTAACAACAATATTCACCTTTCTTATGAACACAGCTATGAATGTGGTGGAATATACAGTAGGCAAAATGATGAAAGCTTCTTAAATATTATCAAACATGTTAAGGTAATGAATTGCTGGGCCTGGGACTCAGGATCTTAGTCTTAGAAGACCCCATGGTCAAGTGGCATAACACAGACCACAAAGGCAAGGATCTACGTCCTATCTTGGTAAGTAGCATATGGGATCTTAAAAGCTCATGAGCTGCAGATTTTGGCCTTTCCATGTGCATAAAAAAGAAGAGTGATGAGAACTGAATATGCTTAGAATTGATTAGTCCAACGGACTGATAGAATATGTGAACATCAGTCTCCACGACTCTGAGACCAGAAGAACTAGATAGTGCCTGGCTACCACTACTAACTGCTCTGAAAGGGATCACATGTGAAGGTCTAAGAGCAGCAGAATATACAAACAAAACTCAAAATTTTAAAAAAAGCCCGGGATTACTGTTCAGAAAGGCCCATGACCACCCTTCAGGTCTGGAAAGGAACTCAACCTAGTGGCCCAACTTTCAGCTAAGCAATAGATAGATATATAGGGTGAACAACAACACTAGTAAGGTACACTCACTATGAACGACAGAACGGTCAATAATTCAAAATCAAAAGAGCAACATTTTTCTAAGGACAAAGTGGAGAAGGGCTATAGGATGGTAGGTAATGGAAACCAGAACCACAGAAAGGAAGCTGGATAACTGTTGTTCCTTGGAGGGGGCTGCAATCATTGAAATAAACAAAGTGTATCATTTGTTGAATGCAAAACTGATTATCTTGTCTATAAACCTTCACTCAATTCACAATAAAAACAAAACAAAACAAAACAAAACAAAAAACCTGTTTCACAATATTGTAATGCCAGTAATATTGATGGCATTAATCACAGAAGCTATGTTTATGAATGCATGACAAAGCATACTAGAATTAAATCTAGTAGTATACATTTAGTCTTATTTAGTTATTCACAGTATTTAAAACTCATAAGCCAACATTTCAATCTTTAAATTATTTTCAGTATAGTCAGTCCTCTACTCCACGGGAGAAAGATGAGGTGTTCTGCTCCTGTAAAGATTCACAGCCTCGGAAACCCTGTACAGGGTCGCTATGGGTCAGAACCGACTCGATGGCACTTAACAACAACAATATTCAGTCCTCAAGTTACAAACAAGATCCATTCCATGTGTTTTTTAAATGGATTTGTGGATAAGTGGGACAAATATATACAACTCTTACTTAGCCTAATTTAGTCTAAGAAGAGACTCAGAGCCTTTTCAATGCTTTAAAAGCATTGTGTGCCACAGTGAATGACGTTAACTGTGATGAAGAATTTGTTTTGAGTACGAGATGGTTCAAATGCTTCAATGTGAGGGCAGAATTATCTACCATTAAAGGGCAAGTTGGAGTTGTTCATAAGTCAGATGTTCATAACTTGTACAAAGCAATTTTTAGCATAAATTGCAAAATGTTGTTGTTTATCTATACATTCTATATTTTAAAAATTTAGTTTTTGTTGGTATGGCACATATAGTTAACCACTTATGAGCATCAGCTTGTTTAACAAAAACATATTAACTTTTTAAATTAAGTTTTCTTTTAGCTTACCTCTGGAAGTCCATTAGATGTTACAGTTCCAAGGGAATTCATAAAAGGTACAAAATTTTTGAAATAAACATTTTTCACCTGAAAAAGATAGTTAGAAAATGACCATTAAAAATTTAGAAAGGAAAAAATACCAAAAATTTAATCTGTCATAGATTAACACTAAAATGACAATGTCAACTATTTTGATCAATGACATAAATTCACGCTAGTGTGATACTTATTAATAATTAACTCAATTATTTACATTTTAGCTTTTTTTAGGTAGACTCAAGTCCTAAAATGAAGATGAAGTAGGAATTATTAATGGAATGGAACTGATTTCACATAATCCACATTAAACGCATGATAAAAATATGGGAGATTCAAATAAATTAAGTAAACTGACCAAAGTTGCACAACTGGAAATAGCAGAGGTGGAATTAAAACCCAGTTGGACTTTTCATTTTTCTACATTGCCACTAACTTCTCCCCAAAGCATCATTTGGGCCTCTTCATGCTCATTTTCAGATAATACTGAAACAGGAAACACTAATTCCATTTTACAGCACGTTGGTGGTGGTGTTGTGCCATCGAGTTGGTTCTGACCCATAGTGACCCTGTACAGGGTTTCCTAGGAGCTGCTGGTGAGCTTGAACCGCCTACCTTGCAGTTCAAACCAATTTTACACCAGCACATTAACCACAGCACCACAGCAGAACTCCTTTTTTAGCATGTTGTTGTTGTTAAGTGCCATTGAATCAGTTCCGACCCTTAGTGACCCTGTGTAGAGTTTCTGAGGAGCAGCTGGTGAGCTTGAACCACCTACCTAGTAGTGTGCAGTCTGGTGCATTAACCTGCAGCGCCAGGACTCCTTTTTTTTTTTAAGCATAGATTTAGGAAAACAAATTATTTTCTTGTAAAAAGAGTTAACAAACAAAAGTATATCTTATAATTCATTTCAAAGCCAACTAAAAATGTTTTATGGAATTACGTATTGTTAAAGTACTCTATAATAAGGATAATAAAGACCATACTAGAAAGCCTGATTATTCTGTTTAAGGAGCGCGGTGACTCTGTAGGATAGACAGTGGACTGCAAACCACAAGGTCAGCAGTTCAAGCACATCAACCATTCTGAGGGAGAAAGATGAGACATTTCATTCCCATAAAGATCTGCAATCTCAGAAACTCTATGCATGGTATCTATGAAGTAGAATCAATCGATGACACTTAACAACAATGATGAGATCTCATGAAATAAATCTAATGGTCAATGATTTATGGAAAATATAAAAGATCTATATAGAATAATGATGAATCTGCAAAACACTTCACAACATGGATGAACCTGGACGACATTATGATGAGTGAAAGTAGTAAATCACAAAAGGGCTAATATTGTATGAGACCAATGTTGTTCCAGTGTGGTGCTGTGGGTTAATGTGCTAGACTGCAAAGTCGGTTTCGACCTCAAGGTAGGTGGTTCAAGCTCACCAGATGCTTCTCAAAAAACCTATACATGGTCGCTGTGGGTCAGAACTGACTTGACTGCACATAACAACAAGAACAACAGCGTGGAAGAGTGAAAGCAGATACGGGATTAGATGTCTCAAAAAGTCTAGTGTAGATTTTGTTATTAGCTAGCAGTCTCTGAACGCTGTTCACTCATGAATTGAAAACCAGTGGGAATGTGTTTGTAAGATTCTGATCAGTTTCAGTATTCCAGATTCTTGGAACAATAAGGAACTCCTGGATCCTCACGTATACTCTCTACCAGTCATAAATAAGCATCTGGTATAATATTTACGTGACAATAATTTTAAAAAGCTGAACAAAATTTGATGTTGCTGTCAGTTTCACTAAACCAAAATACTGTTTTTCTTATCAGGGTGCTTTTACACATCAGGGGTCACAGTAAACCTCAGAGGACTCAGAGTACTAATAAATTAGAAAACTACAGCTTTATTAATGGATTTCAGTGAGCCCAGAGTGAGAAATGTGGTCTGTTTAAAATCAAAGTAATTCAATATGAAAATGAAAGATTTTTCTAAATATTTGGCTGCTGCAAGAGTTGGCACTAATTACAAAATACATGCTCATCATAAAAGAAATATCTACAGCTATGTGGGAGTCTCTGTAGGTTCATGCACTAGACTGCAAAGTCAGCGGTTCAGGCTTACCAGCTATTCCTTGGAAATCCTACACATGGTCTCTATGGATCAGAACCGACTTAATAGCACTTTAACAACAACAGGTGGGAGTTCTGGTGTGGCACTGCAAGACAATGCACTGGACTGCAAGGTCAGTTTGAGCCCCAGGGTTAGTGGTTGAAAACCACCAACTGCTTCTCAGAAACCCTATAAGGGTCGCTGAGTCTGAATGGACTAGACGGCACTTACAAACGACAGGTGAAATTTCAATCTATATAAATTTAACAGTTCTTAAAAAATCACTAGGTTAAATTACCTCATCTATATTACATTCGTGAACTGTACAGAGGACTTCAATAATTCTTGTATCATTTTCCAGTTGTTTTGCTATCCGTGCACTCCTGTTCTGACTTCGTCTTGGTGTCCGAGGTGAACCATTCATAGGTATCACAGCTGTTTCTGTACAAATGAAAGGTGAGATAACAACAACTGTACACAAAGTGGTCTGATTATCAACTTGAAAGGTCAGAAATCATTTTGGTGACATTCTATAACTTTTACTTATTACCAGCTGCCACGGAATCAAATCTGACTCATGGCAACTCCATGTGCATCAGAGGAAAACTGTGTACCACAGGATTACTTTCTTTCTTTTTTATGTGTTAAAAACATATACAACAAAACACTGACTAGCTCAGTAATGCCTACATGTATGAAAGGACTTCAAAAAGTTAATGGAAAATGGAATTAAAAGATAAACTTTTCAAAGTCCCTTCATATAATTCAGTAACACTTATTATATTCCTTCATGCTGTACCCTGTCCATATCAAAACGCTTTATCATCCTGCCAATGCCAACTAAGTAAAAACTCTCCCTTTTCTTCTTCTTTCTAGCTCCTGTAATCGCTAATCAACTTTTGTTTCTATACATTTGCTTATTTCATATGTGGTCCTGCAGTAGTTACCTTTCTGCAACTGACTTGATT